TGATAGGCTTTCTTCACCATAGTGGTTATACTGCGCTTTTGTGATGCAAAAGTCACTTCACCACAAACATAGCAGAAGTTATCTGCACTGTTCACACAAGTACAAGGCATTTCTGCTCACTTTGGCAAAACAGAAATGTGTCCCTTTGCAAAATCAAACACTGACAAATAAGAGAGCATGACACTGTATGATTTCTAGAGCTGATATAGGGCAATTTGTTCAGCAGAGTGATGTAAGCTTCGTTATGATTGCATCATGCATGACTTCTAGGAATAACATGATGCAATTCATATCATGTATGATGCAATACCAGCTTCAGATTGCATCATTCATTGTTTTGTCTAAAAAGTAAGTACTGTCCAAACCCAGTCATAGATTTATTCATAGATCCAGTCAAAGATGTATTTTAGTCATTTCTGGTTTAAATTGAGATCCCTTCCCTTTATAACTTGCTTATCCTCTGCCATTCCCAAGTCAAGGGTCGTATATACTGACCGAATAGCATATCTTGAAAACTAGAGCCAATCAACAATTTTAAGCATCATTTTCGTTCTCAGTGACCCAGAATTAGTAAAGTTTGACTACATTTATTTCAGAAGCATTTTGGCTGTAGAGCAGTGTAATCATAAAGGAGTGGCAAGGATGCTGGGTAGACCTCTTTGAGTCAGCCTTTACAGCTAAGGCACAGAAAGATGTATAAATCCAGGGCTGTCTTCCTCTCCTTGCTATTTAAAAACATTAACAAACCTGGCAAATAAAGTTTTCCCCATACTCCTTCCATTTGATTTCCATATTATTTAATCCTGGGATCAAACAACTGTTGAGGCTCCCCATTATCACAAAAAACTGCGGGGGAGGGGCAAGAAGGAGGGAGGGTATAGTTGTTAGACTTGGTCACATGGTCCTACATGGCTTTCTATGACCTTTATCTCCCCTTATCAAAATGATCCTGCAGATATCACTGCACTGCTTCAATTTTCCCCATCTCTTTCCAGTTGCTAAAGAATCAGCTGATTCCAACATTCCATCTCTCCTCCTTTCATATGTGGTACCCCAAACACCTACTTTACAACTGAAAATCTGTAAAGAAAAATAAAATAAAGGAGAATGTAATGAAAACCGGGAAAGGTAAACGTCAGTTAACTTCTTTCAATCTCCCCCTCCCCTTTGACAATTTTGCTCTCTCTTGCTTAGATAGCAAAAATTATCATGCTAATTAATGTTCATGTTCTTCTTTATCCTTCCATACTGCTTCCCCCCTAAGTCCATTTGTATAATAAAATTCTGATGTGGCGCAATTTGCATAAGTGGACACTGGCATAGCACCTTGCTGTGGCTAAGAGACTCTCTGGTACTCCAAAAAGTGCTGTTTCTTGGATGAGGAGGAGCCAGAAAGAAGTGGGTCACGGAGCTGCAGGTAGGAACCATTAGTGGAATAATGGTTTTAGTATGCCTGGGGAGATGGGGGTGGTGGTGGTGAGGAAACAGTGCTCCAGTGGAACTAGGGACAAACTTGTAAACAGGCATCACTCACCAGAAAGCAAAGACCACTTAGTATGAGATCCATGGGCATGTGCAAAGCAGCACTGTTCACAGTCAAGGGCCTCATAATAACCCTGAGGGGTACTAAAAGGTGGCTGGCAGAATGGGAGTAATGTGAAGATGTAGTAGCTTAGAACCTGCCACATGAAAGAAGGTTGCTCAGCACTAGTAATCGCAACAATAATCTCTTGGATTGGAGGCCGGCCAGAGCGGAGCAATGCAGCTGCCGGTAGGGGCAGAGCTATGCAGCTGCCGGTAGGGATGTGACTAAAGATCGATTTGTATTTGATCTGTACACATAGTGCCATGTTGCAAATATCTGTATGCTGTGAACATGAATTAACAAACAGTCATGTGATTATTAAGGTGATGCTTTCTTGCTGATGTATTATTAAATCTGAACATTAGGGAATACTATATAGAGCTGTCATGTGGCAAGTTTGTGAGTACAGTGACTAGGAATCCTGTGAAATCATGCAGCATTTGGCAAGAGACCTCCATTTTGAATGTGTGGGAAGCATATGAGCAATAGAAAGGTGTGCCTAGCGTGGGCATTTTTTCAACCTGTATTAGGCTTTCAGTCTAAAGCCCACTGAAGTTAATGGAAAGATTCAGTGGGCTTTAGAATAGACCCTATGAAAATAATTCTGCCAAAGTTAAATATAGAATGGCAAAGCCACTCTCTGTTGCGGTGGTGCAGTTTCAAGGTATGCTACAATTGCCATGGTGAAGTAAGTGCAGGTCAGGCATGCAGAGATATATTAAGACTGGCACATCAATCAAATGGTTGCCAAGGAAACCTGTCATTTTCAAAATGAAATATGCTGGGTGACTGTTAACACTCAGAAGAAGGCCTGGGCCATGAAAGGACACGGTGCTACACAATGCTCTTGGTGAGATATTTGCACATGATATGGATCTATATTCAACTTTGGAAGACAAGGGATTTGTTATACTGCAGAGTATTCTCAAACCATATTATAAAATCTCATCTGAGTTTTTGTTCAATCAAATTTCTGACATCTGTGAATGAATATGCCTATAACTATTAATGCTGGAGGCGAGAGAAATATTACCTATGTTCTTCATCACTGACGCATAGCTCCAGAATAACACAACATGGTTCTTCATTAATTTTCCTGTCTCCTACGTTGATAACTAATTTAACAGAACTGCAGTTTTGCACTCTCTCTCTCTCTCACAAGTGCAGGTATGGTGACTTTCAAGAGTTTTTGGGGAAATATTGGCAAAAAAAATGTTACAGAGAGGAGATAATGTTGGAAACAAACACCAAAAGCTGATATTTACAGTTTGGCCTGTTTGTGCACAGCTTGCATCTCTGTCAGTAATGATGCTTTATCCAGCCACTATTTCATATGTGCTATCAAGAGCTAGTGGGCTGGAAGCTTCTTGGCTATTTTAAACCCCCAGCATTAGCATTTTCTATACTACCACGTATACAAAAAAGACTATGCCTACCCATCAACCAGTTAATTCAAGATGCTGTAACAACATGGAATTACTATGTTAAAATGTCTCATAGAAAACAAACCAGCTTGGCGTGTGAACTGTACAGAGCAACCAAATGCCATAAGTCTAATTCCTTCCCAATGGACTATTGCTGAAACTAGGGCAGATAATACTGAAGTAATCTGAAAACCTAACAGGAAAAAATTAATGTAGGCCAGACTGCATCTCTGTAATAACAGCACTGAGGGCTTTGAAACTGTACTTCACAAAAGTTTTTAAACTATGCATAAATCTAATGAAAGCAGAAACAATTAAATTGTTTCTCATGTTTCAGCCACGCTGAAACAGAACACTGGGATTCAGCTACCTATGTACTAGATCCATGCGCTGTTATATTTTTTCAGCTTGGATGGCAACTTCTCTAATGCCAAAGCAGCCATTCAAAGCATTGTTAAACAAATACTGCTACAGAATGCCAAATATATCAAAATACTTCAAAATAAAGAATTATTAATAAAGAAGTAAAGGGTTATTGACTTACTCATCAAGAAACAAGTAAAGAGAAGGTAGGACTAATGAGATGTTCCCACAAAAATACACAGGATCTGTAGTGAATAGCTGTCATTTAATCTCACAGAATGATACATTTTGGCAACCTCATAAAAATATAAAGCTATCAGGTTTTGACATCTTTTGGTACGGCAGAGTCATTTTCTGAAGCTTTGCCAAGCCATGTTTCCTATGAAAAATGATCTGCTGTCCTTGAGGATCTTTAAGTTGGTTGCTACTGCTTTCTTCCTCTGACGGTTGCAAGCCTTTAAAAAAAAAATGCAGTTTAACAATAATGTCTGTTTTCTTCAACACGGAGGGCAAATTATTTTTACTTGAGTGACTAAAGGTAGCCTACCTGTGGCCCTGATCCTGGAACTGGATGAGGGTAGGCGGAACCTGGTGCCTACATGGAATCTCATTGACTTCAGGGGTTGGCCCACATTGATCCAACTGCAGGACTGAAACTGGTCTGAACTTCAAAACAGCTGAACACTTTTAGTGTCCAGGTCCTACTTACTCCAACAGGAGGAATGAGTGCACAGCACTTCTGATGATCAGATCATTTATTTTGGTACCTATCTATAGGCTCCCAAATTTGAACATTTTATGGAGAATCATAGAATACTGGGGTTAGAAGGGACCTCAGGAGGTCCTCTAGTCCAACCCCCTTGCTCAAAGCAGGACCACTCCCCAGACAGATTTTTGCCCCAGATCCCTAAATGGCCCCCTCAAGGATTGAGCTCACAACCCTGGGTTTAGTAGGCTAATGCTCAAACCACTGAGCTGTTTGAATACCTTTATTTAATAGTTATAGCAGAGAGTAAATCACTACAAACATATACTGGTATTATTTATAGGTCTATTTAAGTTCTTTATATGTCATTAGAAAACACTAACATGCATATTGTACATCTTAGTTTAAGAAAACTTTGAATCATGAACAATGCACATTATTTTTTAAAATTAATACTTATTTCCAAATGGCTGCTGTATTCATGCTATCAAATGATCAGACATTGTCTTCAAAGCCCTGCTTATCAGTAGCAACTATTTGGTAACCAGTCAAACAACAAAAATAAGCATGACAAGGTGGGTGAGGTAATATCTTTTATTGGACCAACTTCTGTTGGTGAGAGACACAAATGTATAAGCTCAAAAACTTGTATCTCTTGCCAACAGAAGTTGGTCCAATAAATTATATTACCTCACCCACCTTGTCTCTCTAATATCTTGGAACCGACACATCTACAACACTACATACAAAAACAGGCATCACAGCCGTAAAAGTAATCCCTATTACTTTGGACTGCTGTTACCATTGCAGCTAAACTTTACCTCTTTTCGGGTTGCCTAGACTAGATGACCTAATACTTTTTTCCACCTCTAACTCACATAATAGTAAAGTAGAACAATAATTGAATCTCATGAATTTCAGTCTTATATGTTAAGGGCTGAGTAACGTCTGTTCTTGGCCTCACTCTTTCTTAACTACTTCCTTGTGTTGGCAGCAGGATTGTAATGTACTTCTGTAATCACACTTAATCTGTACCCCAGTGCTTGAAATACCTGCCTCTTATACCAGAGGTGCTTAAAATATTATACATACTTTGTAAAATGCTTAGAGATAAGGCTCCTTTAATTTAAGCAGTCATGACATTAGGCATAAGCAGACTAAGCAATTGCTTAGGACCTAGGCAGCTAAGCCCCCACTCCCCCATTTAGTACTACTCCTCAAAATACCATTCATCTTAGTTAATGTGGGCTTTTTAACTTGTGTACATAAGTGCTGAGTTGATGGATTGTCTGGCCCGGGAAAGAATACACTTAGGTCACTGGCTGGATTGCACTAGAATAAATGGTGGCTCATCAGCCAGAGGTTATGGGCGTGCTGCGGATAGATGAACAGGATGGTTCCTTCTCGCCTTAAAGCCTATGTTTAGGGGGGGGGGGAGTGGTCCTGCTTAGAGCCCCCGCTGGGCAGGCACCGCCTCTGACCTTAAAGGCCTCCCCTGGGTGCAGCCGGCCCCAGGATTCCGAACCGGGTTTCACAGGCAGCTCGGTCAGGCTGCGCTGGGGCGGCTCAGCCCGATCTCCTGGCTGGGCGCGGTCGAGGAGGCCCAGCACGAGGACGGCCGTCCGGGCAGTACATCAGCCGGCCACAGGGCAGCCGGCGGGCAGGGGGCGCTGTGTGCCAGGGGTTACAATGGCGGGCCTCAGCATCGCCCCCGCGGGGGGAGGGACCAAGTCACAGCGCGCAGGACGCAGACCCGGAAGCCGCACAGGGCCGCGGCATCACCCAGTTTCCGGAAGACTCGTATCAGAGCGTCGTCCCGCTGTCCTAGCACGTCCCCCGATCCGTCCGTCCGTCCTTCCTTCCGCTTAGGCTTTCCCCTGTCTGGACAGCCGCCCCCTAGCGGCGGGCGGTAGCGCTACACCCTGCTCGGCGGCTGCCTCGGGCCGGGATATCTATGGGGCGAAACGAGATGCAATGAACCCGAGAGCGAGCGAGACAGCGACGAGCGCGGCGGACACGCACCGGAGCAGCTCCATGGGGGATCGGCCGCAGTAGGAGCGGCTCCCCCCGGGTACGATCCGCCCCTGTCTCCCCCTCGGGCCTCTGGAGGAGGATGGCGACAGCGGCCGCCCCGACCCAGCTGGAAGCCGGTGGGTATCGCTGCGGGGGGAGGCGGGCGGCGCTCCCTGACGGGTGTCCCCCTTGTAACCGCGTCCCCTTCTTCTCCGCAGAGCTCTACTACCTGATCGCCCGGTTCCTGCAGTCCGGACCCTGCAGGAAATCCGCCCAGGTGAGCGGCCAGCGCGGGGCTCCGGCCGGCCCGGCCCCGCCGCCGGGGCCAGCGGGGGGACGGGGTTGGGCGGATGGGGCGGCGGAGCCGCCGCTCGCTCGGTGGGTGCCGGACTCACGTCCTTTGTGTCTCTCCCCAGGTGCTGGTGGAGGAGCTGGAGGCGCACCAGGTAGGGGCTACGGACTGGGGCGGGCGGGCAGGTGGGAGTCACCCGGTCCCGCAGTGGGGCCCCCCTACGGCTCTTCGGG